CCTGCTGGGCCTGCTCCTGGGAAGTGGCGGCTGACACTGGACTCAGGGGCTGTGAACGCGGCTCTCCGGCAGTGCGTGTGTGCGCGACATGGCATCAAGCCCCCATCCTCTGGCTGAGTACCCCGCCCTGCCGGTCTCTCCTGTCTCGCTCAGTCTCCAAGAAGCCCTGAGAGAGAGAAATGTCTCCTTCTCCTCCTCCCGCGCCCATTATCACCATCACCTCCCGCCCCTGTCCCCCCACCCCATGTGAACACACACATGCTGGCCTAGGAGGATCTACGAGCCACCTATGTGGGAGAGCCCAGAAATCCCTGGCAAGGACCCCCAGTCCCTGCCAACCCCCAAAGCAGCAGGCAGATGGGGCAAAAATTACTACTCTCAGCTGCTTTTCCTGGGGAAGAGGCTTCATCCAGGCCCCCAGCTTTTCTCTCTCAGAGTCCCATTATTTGTGCACTTGAGGTATTTACACACCTACTGTGTACTAGACAGGAACTGGTGCTTTGTGTCAAGTGGGGTGGGGGAAGTGCCAGAGGAGGAGGTATGGACTTGTCTAAGTTTTTCCCAGACCCTTATTGCTTCTCCCCCCACCCCCACCCCCAGGCAGAGGGGTGGGAGTTTCTGGGAACCCTGAGCCTTAGTGCTTCTTTGGGAACAGCTTGGGTGGGCAGAGTTGCCCTGGGATAGGTACTTCGGAGGAGCAGGTGGAGCCGCTGATGCCCAGCCCAGCTGCCGCCTTTGACCACACCTCCCCTGCCCCACTGGCCCCTTCATGTCCTTGGGGGTTGGGCTGGAGGGGTTGGGTGGTCTCTGAAAGCCATTAGGCCAGAGGCAGTAGGCAGGCCCTTTTCCAACAGCACAGCCAAGTTCTGCCTACCTCCTCTTTCTCTGTGCCCTACTTTCCCCCACTCCCAGCCATAATGCTAACACTGAGCAATGTACAGATGGCAAAGTGGAGTCAGAGGGCTTTGTCCCAAGATCTCATCTCTCCTCAGAGAAGTGGACTTCCCGAGCCCACCTGTTACCCTCCTCCACGAGCCTGTTCACTCAGCTGGCTCTTGCCCAGACAGACCTCTAGGCAAGGACTATGTCTTACTACCTCGCAACTTGCAGCTCGTGGCACAGATCTGGGTAGGGTTGTTCTACAGTTAGTGTTCTGTGAACGAGTAATGGGGAAACTGGCTGAGCATTTAGACCTCAGCCCATGTGCAGCTTCCCCAGGGAAACTTGCTTTTGCCCCCTTCCCCCAACAGATAATAATCATAAGCACAAGCATTTATTGAGCACCTGTATTTGCTCAAGGCTGGGCTTGCACTCTTCTCTCAGCCCCGCTGGGAGATGGCCCCATTGGGTGGGGTGGGGAGACAGGTGAGGTGGGCTCCAGTGCCCACAGCCCAGTCCAGCCTATTTCCTTTATTGCACCCCTCCGTGTTAGAGGCCTGAGGGGCACCTGTTGAGCGTCTACCACCCCAGCTGCAGTGCTTCAAGCAGGCAGGATACTTACCATCTTAACCTCATGCCTGTGCATAGTAGGCCCTTGAAAAAGTTTATTTGCATACATCAATAAATGAATGAGTGGAGAGTAGAGGATGGGAAGGGCCTTCTCCCCACCCAGGACCCAGCCCTCTGAAAATAGCCTGATGAGAACAGGGAGCAGGACTCAGGCATCCAGCCCATCCTTAGTGTGTTGTGCATAGCCCTGGAGTCACAACCAGAGTCACTCTGGGCATGGGCCCTTCCCTGGAGTGGGGGTGAAAGCCAGAGCTCCTGGCTCAGACCAGGGTCCAACCTGGGTTCTGGAGTCCCCAGAAGGTTCTGAAGGCCCTGGTCTGAACCTCAGTGATCTTAACCAACCTTCCTCTCTCTCCCCCAGATAAGATGGGCTTCTGGGGCCCTAAAGTGTGGAGGTCAGAGGTTTTTAGTCCTACACCTTAACCCCTACCCTGTAGGGCCTGCCTCTACAGGATCAGAATTCCTTTACATTTGGAGAAGTTCCCCTGAACTTGATCCTCGTAAATTTGGGGGGATTCTTCTCATCTCCCCAGAAGGCTGTGTCTCTAGAGGGGGCAGAGACAGACACACCCTAATCAGGCCCCAGGTACTGCCTGGGCACACTCCATGAGTGACAGATGCAAATATTCCTTCCCGGCCCCAGCAGGTCGCTCCCTCCCTCCCTTACTCCCTTGCTCGCCTCCCAGCCAGCTCGCTCCTTTCTTTATCTTATCAAAGCCCCGTAATTACAATTGCTATTTTGTTTCCTCGAATCTGCAATCAGAGCTCCCTGGCCCTGATGAGGGAGCGCCTGTCAACCTGATCGCTGAGTGACAGCCCGGCCACCTTTCCCGGCCGCCCCCACACTTCGCAAACACAAATACACACACACACACACACACACACACACACACACTCGCCTTCTTCAAACACAAACACTCCTCACCAACACAAACAGCTTCCCTCCGAAAACACGCCCTCGCGGGGACCCAAGCACACACCTTCAGCCTCTTTCCAAACGCATCCCTTGCCCCGAGCCCACCGCAGGCCCCTCAAATCCACACCAGCTGGTGCGGACCCGCCTGGACAGCCGCTCGCCCCATCGCCTGCCTCCTGAGCCCGGCGTTCAATGCGCCGCGGACTGTCCGCGGACAGTTCAAATGCAAATCGTCAGGACTGCATTAAGCACTTCGGGCGTCGCCTGGGAGTGTACCCGTCTCCCCACCAAATGCAGGCCTGCTTTCCTTCAGCGGTCTGCAGACCCCGGTGTACGGCCTTCATCCCTCAGCGCTCCTACTATGCGCTGAGGGTGCAGAAAGGGGGATTGAGGAGAGACGGTGGGTGGTGAGGAGGCAGAAAAAGTAATTCCTAACTCTACCCGCGGGGCGCAAGGGGCAGATGTGGATTGGGCCCCCACTGCGGGCAGGAGCGCGCTCGGCGCTGGCCGGGGACCCGCGGAGACGTGTCAAGGCACACAATGAGCCATCAGCGGCGTCGAGGGGGGTAAATATTTGAGTGGAGCCACGCGCAGGGGGCAGCTGCGTCAGCCTTCTTCCCACCTCCCCCGCCCCCCACATGACTTTTCCCAGCACCCAGCGGGTCTTCCGCGCCGCCAACTTTGGAGGCTACAAGCGAGAGGAGGTAGGGAAAAGCTCTAACAGGAGCCCTTCCAGTGAATGATGAATGAATGAACAGACGAGTGAAGTCAGCTTTAGTAACTTTTCCCCTCATCTTTCGCCTAAACTTCGGCGACCCAGACCACTTACGGGGCACATGGGCCCCTGTACGCCTAAAGCCCCTGAAAAGGCGACGTGGGGTGGTGACACGATCACAGGCGCTTTCAACCTCGCCCACCAGAGGGCGCCAGCTTCCTCCTCCCTCTCTACCCTGTGCTGCGCGAAGGCGACTGGCCTCAAGCCTGGCTGCCCCCTCCACCCTGGTTCCTGGTGGAAGCGCTTCAGGAAAGTCCTCCTGACGAGGAGAAAGCAGCATGCGCCCCTGATACTGCAAAAAACACAGAGATCATCTTCCGTTATCCTCAACTTGAGGGAAAAGGGAGGTTAAAAACTGGACCCCTTTGCTCCTCACCACAGAGGGGCAGGGGACCTCTTCTAGGGATGTGTTGAAAAGCCACTGCTTTCCAGAGACATTCTCTCCAAAGCTTACCTCAGCTGGCCCAATACCAGCCTCTTCAGGTTATCTAGGGACCCCTCCTACTTGCTCATTCATTTGTGGGAGGGAGAGGGCCTGGCCCCACCAGGCACTGTTCTCTGTCCATCCTCAGCATGTCTGGCCCCAGGCTGTCTCAGGAGGTAACCTTTTATTTGTTTGTTTGTTTGTGGGCATTGAGACACCCCCACCCCATCAACACAGCTGCTGAACTGCTGACCCCAGAGTTGGTCACATACACATCACATCAGGTAGATCCCTTTCCCTTCCTGGCACAGCAGCAGTCAAGCCCCAGAACCACCTGATTTCAGGCACCAGAGCCCCCAGACCAGGTGGGGTGTGGGTGTGCGTTGGGGGTTGGGGGCGCAGAAACCCCTTAACCCAGGAGGCTAAATCCCAGGGGCTCCTCTCTGCCCCCATATGCCAGGCCACCCGGATTCTGGTTTCCCTGTCACCCAATCTGGCCAACCCCCTCCATCTGGTCCCTGGAATCAGGTTTCTAAGGGCCCAGACCAGCTCAGAGACAGTTTGCAAGACTGGAAGGAGGAGCAAAGACTGGCCTCCTCCCTACCCTGAGCCCCCTCATGGGGCTAGAGATGCACATTCCTTGGGCTGCTTAAACCCCCTTATCTGCCCCCCTGCCCATCAGCCTGAGTGCTGACAGAGGCCCAGACCCCTTGTTTGGATGCTGATAACCTCCTGGGAGGGCCCTCCCCGACCTGTAGGAACTGGAAATGGTTTTGGTGTTGGGAGGTCCTCTTCTCGCAAGGCAGTTTGGGCCTAGGCCTGGCCTGGGGATAGCAGAATCCCACATTTCTTCACCACCACTGGCACCCCCACCCCACCAGCCCAGGCCTGGGGCCACCCTCAGTGCTGCCACAGTGCCACCTGGTGGTCCTTAGGGGAATGCCACCCCAGCAGGGAGATAACGTGACACAAATGAGTTGCAAAAAAAACTGGACACCACTTTATTTCACCCTTTATCCAAAATGTAAAACATGTTTAAAATGTGTAGTCCTGAGCTTCAGATGCTGACCTCCAACCTCAAAGGCAAGTGGGAGAGAGGGTCAGGACAGGACAGTTCAGAGTTCCTCCCACTCCTGGAGAAAGGGGAAGCCCCAGGCATGGTATAGAATTAGAACACCAGGGCCCTATGGAGAATAGGACCCCCTTTCTCCTAGCACCAGCCCAAGACCCCCCACCCCCACCCCTCTTCTTCAATGAAGAAGACATTTAAAATTCTTGATACTTGTACAGCAATGTGGTGCATGGCATGTATGGCAGGCAGTTAGTTGACCTGAGGAGAGCAAAGAAAGAATCAGCATCTAGGCCTTCATCTGCTCCTCCTGCCCTCCCAGAACCTGCTGGGTACCCTGCCCTCCCACTCACCAAGGAGGGCTAGGGCATGCCCCTCTGCTTCTTGGCAGGCAGGATGGGGCACAACTCAGCTTCCTCCTCCTCCTCACTCCCCTCTTCTTCGCTCTCTTCTTCCTCAGAAACATCATTGCTGACAGTAACTGGTGTACACACAAGTAGTAAAGGCAGGGGGAGATGGTTAAAGCCAGATCTCCTTCATACTACATGTCATTTATTCATGCACTGTGGTGCTACACTTGCAGGGCCCTGACCTCCCAGAACTTATGGTCTAGATGGGAAGAACCTCAGATACTAAACTGGGTTACAAAGAGCCAAAGGATTACACATCACTGGAGCTGGAGAAGCTGGGGTAGGTTCCATGAAGGAGGTAGGCATGAGTAGGACAGAAAGTGGAGGCCACATGCATGCAGAACCTGTTATGGCAGCTACACTGGGAGATAAGGCTGGGATGGGGCAAGAGTGTGGAGTCAGGAAGGGGTGGAGACCTGATGCAGAGTCCACTGAAGGCAAAGGAGAGGACTCTCACCAATCTGATGTCGCCCAGTGATCCGCACAGGACCAGAACCTGACTTCAGGCGGAAGGTTACAGGAGGTTGAAGCTGGAAGTCATCCAAACTTAGCTGGGAGAAAGACAAGGATGAAGGCCTAGCCCACTCCTGCCCTCTTCTTCCCTGTCCCCCTCCCCACGGTATGGCCAGGAACTCACCATGGGTTGGCAGGACAACTTGAGGTTGGCCACAGGGACAGCAATCTCCTGGTGGTCATGGTTCCGGGCCACAACTTCTACCACATTACACTCATCTTTGGCCCCCTCGGTAAGGCAGAGCTGGGAAGTGTACACAAGGCCATGGGGTCTCCCCAAGCAAGTGTTGACACCACAGTGGAGGCATCTACCCTAGAACCTGCCCAGCCTCAGGGGTCTCAGAATTACCTGACGATGGGAGTAGGCCATTGGGGAGGTTGGGCATAGGAGGTGACTCCCAGGAAAGGAGAGGTTGGGGGTACGGGTAGAGGCCCACCGGTTGCCTGCTCAGGTCCAGCTATTCACCACCGCCCCCTTTCCCCATCCCTCACCATGGTCAAAGCCAGCATGTGCTCTGCATCATCCTCTTCCTCTACCTTGAAGGTGAAAGAGCGGGTGTGGCCGGAGAGCTCACAGCCTAGAAGAGATACTTGTGTGAGTGTACCAGGTGTGTGTGCATGTACGTGGGTAGAATGGGGGGTGTTTCACCAAACTCCATCAAGTGCGGCCATAGACTGACCACCCATCTACACGCCCACTTCTCCGGAACACCTGGGGCGCTCAGCCCTGAGCACCGCCCAGCACAGCTGGGGCAGGGGTCTCGCCCCCCCACTTCTGCCCCAACTGCCGCGCGCGAGCCCCCTCCGCCCCCACCCACGTCGTGCACCCAGCTGCATTCCTGTTGCTCAGGCCTTCCTCTTACCGCCCCAGGACTACCCTCATCCCTTTTGCTCAATACCGAAGAAAAAACTGTCCATAGTGACCGGAGCTGGGGCCCGCAGCCCCACGACACCCCCGGCCCGTACTCGGCTCTCCTGACTCAAAAACGCTAAAGCGGTGGCGGCGCCGGCGGCCATGCTGCAAGGGCCGCCTGGGAACTCCGCCCCCGACACGTAGAGCCGGGAACTCCGGCGGTTCCGGCCCCGCCTATTAAAGGGGACGCTCGCCCTAGAAAGAGGGACCGACATGCAGTGAGTCCAGGGCTTCTCCGCCCGGCCCAGCCCAGGAGCCTGCGGCCTCTGCTGAGACCTGTGGGTCGAGACTGCAGGGAGGAAGAAACATTACAGATGTATGCACTTGGGATTAATGGTCCCGTTCTTGCTCATTACAATAACCAAGGCTTTCTGAGGGCGGCTCCTACCTCCATTTTCTCCAGCTCGTCACACCCTCTAGTGTCTCCCTCCCAACCCAGGGTAAACCTTCGTCAAAGGGAAACTAGATATAAAAATGGAAACCTTCCCAATTCCCCCAGCAAATGTGTTTCAGGAGAGCATTTTTCTTACAAAAGCAAAGGAAATGCGCTCAGATTTGCCTTTGCTCCAAGTGAGCCGAGGAGCCTGAAGTAACACTTTTGGCTCCGGGTATCTTGTACCCAAACCTCCACCCTCCTACTCCCGCTTCCTGCCCTGACCGACCTTGCGGCTTACAGTAGGTGGCCTGTCCTCATTAGCTTCAGACGCTAGCAGGACGCTGGCGCTGGCTGGCAGAGGACTAGCTCCTGCTCCTGGCAGACACAAGCTTTCTAGCTTGTACTTCCAAATCAGCCAAGCATATCCTTCCACCTTGGGGTCCTCTACTCCCCTCCCCCCATCTTTCACCGTTTGACTAAGGAATCAGGCAAATCGTGTTCCTCGTCCTCTTTGATGGCAGAAACTCTCAAACGAGTTGCCCCAATTTGCACCCGTTATAACTGGCAAAAGGGTGGCTAGGCCAATAACCAGTCTACTTATCTTATGCCTTGCCTTGAGGAAAATCTGAAAGGAAATATTTTATTGGAGATGGGAGTGGGAGAGGACTGCCTTCAAGAGCTAGTCCCTAACTTGGAACAGCTGAGAAGAGGAGGCCTATTTGCTTGTAGGTGAGGCAGGAAGGCCAGGAGAAAAGGTAGGAGGCAGAAATAGGAAGTAGATTTACACAGTACAACACACATTCACTTCAAGTTTTATTTTGCCTCTTGCATGATCTTCAGATAATTTACAGTTCGTTTTCTACAGGAACTGAGCTGTGATCTAAACAATCAAGGAAATGTCATTCCAACCTTAATAAATATTCATAACCATAGATGATAGCATAGCATTTTACAATCCTAGAGTGATGAATGTATAGGCCTGGATATCTGTTTCACAGTTAGCATCTGTGACCAGATGACCAGCCAAAGTTATTAAAAGCCAAGAAAAAGCCACAAGCAAATGCTAAAAACCATAATTCCATAGGAGGATGACCCTGAAATCCTCCAGATAAAATGCCACAATTGTCCACTAGTGTAGAAAATGTATTTAAAGAGAAAACCAAGTGACACTAAGCCATTTAAAACAGTATCTTGTAGAGATATTCCTTTCACAACTCAGCCCTTGAAAATGCAAACATAGTCCAAGCTTTCCAACATACTATATCCTTATCAGAGGTTTCTGCCCTGAAAATGAGGTGGCCTCCTTCCTTCCCTCCCTTCACCTCACCCATTCAGTGCACACTCATGGGCCTTGGTTCAAAGTCACTAGTGGTACCCCTCTAGATACCACTCTTGAAGACTCTCAAAGCTCATCCTGATGGAATTCTATGAAGGAAAATGTTTCAAGTTTCCTTCTCCTTGCCCTTTCCCTCTCAGCTCAAAGTTAAACAGCTGATACAAAACTACAGGAAAGCTGATAATACCATTATGAATCTATGAAGTCAGCCAGTCATGATGAAAAAATGAATCCTGCAGAGATTACCTGCTAGCCTCATGCTCAGAACCCTTAAATACACCAAATCTAAATTAAACTGCATAAAGCTTTCAGAATCCGTGGTTAAAAGAAAAAGTAATCATTAAGTCATTGATTAAAGTATGCTCATTCTTTGTCTATTTTAAAAATTCAATACAAACATGCAAGAATTAGACTCTGATTTAATAAAAACCAGTAGTAACAGGTCTTGAAATTAAAGGACAACTGATTTGAGGGCAAATGGGACCAATCAGTCCCTGAACCCTACTTGACAGATGTCAAACTAACATTACACATGCTGACCTGCATTAAGGTTAATTTCTATAAGTGACTGCACTTGCAACAGATTTGAGTCCTATGAAGTTAGGCTCTTGTACCCAAAAGTGGTTGTGGCCTAGCCCTAGGTGGGAGGCATTTCAAAAATAAAACTTCTAAAAGTTAAAAAAAACACACCAAACAACCAAAGACAGAAGAAAAATTCACCTTCCACTGATTTACATTATTCAAAGTGCCATCCTGAATCACACCCTTTCATTTTCAAAATAAAAATAAAAAAATTACAAAAACAGTAAACACAAAGATAGGCAGATCACAGCTAGTTTATATACAAAAATTTTACAAGTTCATCATTTTTAGGCTTTTGCCACAAACAAGTGCACATATGTCCCTACAAAGCACAACATGCCTGAACCAATCATCACTACAGGAGACAACTGGCCATGGCTTTACAAAAAGCAGGAAAACTGCCCCAAATTGAAATCATTTATTCAGCTGAAACTATGCCACAACCATCCCACTTGGAATTTTCACCCTGAAGCCTCTGAAACCCACTAAATCTTTCTCACCTCTGCCATGTCCCCAAAGAATGAGACATTTCATTCAATAAGCCAAGGAGGATGACAAATGATTTTGATTACTCTAAGGTGAGAAATGCAACCACACTGGATGCAGAAAACAGTGCTGACTACATTTATTGAAGACCCCCTTCCTATAAGCCACGTAAGAGGTCTTGACACCTAACACAAGACCCAAAAAGGAGGCCCACACCTCTAAGTCATATAGGATTTGCAGAAGTACTATCTTCCAACCAGTGAGTAGTCTCAAAGTATGATGAGTTTTACATAGTCGTCTTTGTTTCCAATCCCAATAGGCTGATCTGTGGCCACTCTGGAAGCTGAACTATATGAAGATCCCAACCACCACCCACCAGGTGAAATTAAGAGACTTTCCAACAGTTCGTAGTGCCAACAAATGTCACAGGCTCCGACCAAGTATAACCACATCCTTTGGAAATCCTTCCATTTTTGCAATTTCAAAACACCCTAACTTGCTGTAAAATTCCAGAATTCTTTTATCATCTGGTCGCACTTCACAGAAAGCCCCCCGGGAGCCTAGGAATAAACAATCAAAATATGTTAATTAGCAGAGTTATGGGTATAAATTATGACTAATCTTTAAATATATTTCAAAGAGTTAATCGTGGGAGTTTGTCTATAACAACCACTAAATTTCATGCCACAATTTTTTAAATTTGTATTAATATAAAATGAATATTAACATTTATCATTATTAAATACTGCAGTGATAACTATCTTAAATGATGGATATGTTAACTAGCTTGAATGCGGTCATTAGTTCACAATGGATTTCAAATCATCAAATGGTACACTTTAAATATATACAATTATTAACTGTCAAATATACCTCAATTAAAAAATTCAACTGTGAGTGAAACTCTTCTCCAGAAAGAAAACTTTTTGGGGAAGAGGTTGTAAAAACCTCAAAGGAAAGGATACCTGTTTAATGTTTTATAAAGTACCTCTGAGGGGGGCTCACAGAACATAACCTATTCCAGCATGTGTCATAAGCCAACATAACCAGAATGTGTTGTGTATTCTAAGACATACTTCATATATCCACCTGTGTGATTCAGTTCCAAGCACAACACTAAGAATTGTGCAGAGCTGTTTAAATTATCCCACAAAGGGACAACACTGACTCAAATGACATAAAAATGCAGTAAGTGCATTCTCATGTATCAACAACCCTCTAATGAGAGCTCAAAAAGCTGCCCACTTTTGTACTGCCGAGGGCTAAACAGTGTTTTACATCTGTAAAAGGTTGTTTAAAAAAGACTGCAACAGAAACCATATGTAGCCCTTAAAGCCTAGAATACTTACTATCTGGCTCTTCACAGAAAAAGTTTTCATACTAACGTAAAGCCAAGTACTTTTGAAGGTTGGGTTTAGATAAACTCAAAAAAACCGGCAACTCTGCATTCCTAAATGAAATTTCTCCCCAAGATTCATTTAATTTTCAACTATCATTTATGAGTCTCCTGGCAAAATAAATATAACCTCATGTGTTCACTTCTCATTAACTGAGGCTCAAAATAAGCATTCACAGGGCAAAAGAGAAGGATTTTTCAATTATCAATATTCATGCAATTCTTGCACAACTAATAATTCAGAAGCCAAATCTTAAATGGTGGAGAAGGGAATATAAATTCACTATAATTCGCTTATCATCCTAAAGTATAGTCCTGTCCCCACCTAACCCAAACACCAACAACTCCACAAACATGTACTCACCATTAGCCTTCAGTGAAGACAGGAGGCAAGCCATCATGCTTTTGGCTACACTTGGGTCAGTTACTTTTTTGTGAATATCCATCTTTATCAAAGAAGGGAAGTTGGCAAGGAAAGTTTCTGGCAATACTTCCTGCTCTTCATGGAAACTCAACATTATTTTCTAAAAATTAGAATTTTCTAAAAATTAGAATCTCTTCACTTTCAGTAGTCACTTATTATATATCTATATCCCACCTACAGAATTCAGTAACAGGAAAGGAATATTCAATAACTCCTCCAGCCCTGCTGGCTTGGCTCAGTGGTTGTCAACTTATAAACCAGGAGGTCACGACTGGATTCCTGGTCACAGCACATGCCCAGGTTGCAGGCTCGATCCCCAGTAGGGGGCGTGCAGGAGGCAGCTGATCAATGACTCTCATCATTGGTGTTTCTATCTCTCTCCCCCACTCCCTTCCTCTCTCTGAAATCAATTAAAAAAATAAAATAAAAGCCCTAGCCAGTTTTAGGATATGCTGGACTGGATCTCAGGACAGAAAGAGGACTTAAGTGGAAAAACTGCTTGAGTAAACAGTGAAATTTATAGTA